CAGGAACTATTTCCCTGGTATCATCACGGCATAAAATCACACCTTGATAATTTTTTCCTCCCAGATTGGGAGGTACGCACGCCAAAAACCCAACAGAACTCATGGCAAACTGAGGTCTTATTTCCCAACAACAAACCTTGCAAAAACCAGAGTTGTATGTGACCTACAGGCCACGTTTGCCCCACCAGGTTACTGCAAGCACTCAGTACCTGACCTATTTATTTTGCTGTTTCACATCTGACTAATGCAGCACTTCAGACTTGAATACTTGTGTATCTGCCTCCTAGTCAGGGAAGTGACACTCCACTGTTTGGCACAGCTCAAGGCAACCAGGGCCAAGCAGTAACCCAAGAACAGGAGGACACCAATCCCTTGGCTCTAGTACACCGCTTTGACCATGTCAGCTCTTTTTGTGCACCCTTCCAAACTTTCCCTTTCTCCCATTTACAACACAGATTACCTACTTAACATCTGTGCCTTCCTCAGGACAGGAAGGAAGCAATCATGATACACAGCATCAGAGCGCTGACTAAGCCTGAGACCTACTTACTCTTCTCCAGAAGTCTACTGGACACCCATATCTTTGTTTTCTTCCAACTGCTAAGGGCAGGTGGAAGAAGTGTCCTGTGAAAGTTTGCAGCACTATCTCCTCAGCCCTCCTCTTTCAAGCTTTAAGCACTTCTCAGCCACATTCCTTACAGAAAGTTTGTCTGACTTATCAACTGCCTCCAGCCATCCTGGAGCCCTTCCAAGATCAGCTGGAGAAGCTTCAGACCTTACTGCCCTCCTCCTACAACAGCCCACAGCCAAGCCAAGACATACACAATGCACAAACATCCAACATTTCATTGCTATGGAAAGAGGAAACAACTGGAAGAATTCATATTTTAACAGGAGAGTAAACAAAATACTTCCAGTTCTGCGATTTCACCAAAAATAGCTAAAAAGACACCAAGCACTGTGAAAAAGTCACTCTGTTTCACAGCATCTGCTTTTCTAGAAGGGCATTCTCTTCCCTAGCAAAAAAAAAAAAATTCAAGAGGACATTATTCTGAAAATTAATAGATAAAGAAAAAAATACCAAACCCCAAGTTCCTCTGGTCATTTACACCGTAACAGAGATACACGTCCCTGGCAAACAGCCCTGACTCCACGCTGCCCAGAGCTGTGGGACAGTTTTGAAATTCAGCAGCCTCCAGCTGCACCCAGAAACACCACCAGGCTTGAGGAGGTACAGCACGACAAGGTGCAAGTCTATGGCTCCTCTGAAGCTAAGAAAGCCACCAACCACAACTCATCCTTGGGATATTCCAGTGCCAGGTTGGAAAGCCTTTCTCAGTAGCTTGCTTAGGGCAGGGTGAGTGGCCAGAATTTTTAAGAAAAAGGGACTACGTCCCACTGAGCACCACCAAGAGAGTCATGCAGCCTCAGAACAGATGGGAGGGTTGGAGTGTTCAAATTGCAGTAGGGTTTTTAAGATCTCGAGCCTTACAGAAGTTACAGAAGGGACTTTTTACAAGGATGTGTAGTGATAGGACGCAGGGCAATGGCTTTGAACTTAGATTTAGATTAGATATATGGAAGAAATTTTTCACTCTGAGGGTGGTGAGGCACTGGACCAGGTTGCCCAGAGAAGCTGTGGCTGGCCCATGCCTGGAAGCGTTCAAGGCCAGGTTGGATGAGGCTTTGAGCAACCTGGTGTAGTGGAGGGTGTCCCTGCCCATGGCAGGGGGGGTGGAACTGGATGATCTGTGAGGTCCGTCCCAATCCAAACCAGTCTATGATTCTAAGTCTACCTTTAGTCCCTTTTCCAAGAATCCCATTTTATAAGGCTTGTTCTCCATAAAACCAAGGCAAGAAACTCACTTACAGCACCAACCATGGCAGCTGGACCATACCTTGTGACAGCCTCGCAGTGAAGCCTGTATCAAACCATTCTTTTTCTCCTGCGTTCACTTCTCACAAGTCAGAGCTCTGGAGGAACAGCTGGCCTGTTTCTAAAGGAGTTTGACAGCACTTTCCTCATTCTGAACAAACATTTACACGGCAAAGAAAAGCAGGGACTGAAGATCACAGGAACTATGCAACTGCTCCCGCTTGTCCATCCCTCTTCCCAGCAGCGCTGTATGCCAAGATTGGAAGGAAGAATTTATTATTTTTAACTAAAAAGGAGCTAATTCAGAAGATAAGACGACTTAAAAAAAAATCTACAGGCTTTAGGGGTTTATATCTGATCTTACAGTAGCAAGGTGTCATCCACATATAGATTTTAATTCAGGAAATGTATTTGACTACCACTTTGATTGTCAGTGTATCCATATTGTTACCCCAACACTAAGGGCTGATACAGCCCCACAAAAGTAAGAGTTGTCAGAATGTGAATTGTGACGATTACAACAGAATCCCTAGCACAGACAGATTTGTTACCTCCCCTTGGAAAGCTAAGTCTCCAATTAAAAGGTAATTTTTAAGAAAGGGAAGAGGAGGAAGTGCTTAAGTGACTTGGCACCACACGCAGGATTACAGCCAGTTAGTCACACAAATAGCGAAGTGACACACGACAGTTCAGCTGCCTCCAAACTGGCACAACCCCACTGGGCTGCGCACCCCCGGGACCCTGCTCCGGGAGTCCGGGACACAGCCGGAGCCACTCGGACACGCTGTAGAGCACCACGAACACCGTTATGCCACACGGAAACCCCGAGGACACAAACAGCCCCTGGAAAGGGATTTCCCAGGCCGGCTGTGTAACAGCCCAGCACTGTGCAACTGGGGTACTTCATTTTCTCACGTTTCTCTCTTCAGATGACTTCCATTGCCATCACCTCTGTCAATACTTTAATAACCCAGAACGCTAATTTGTTACATTGCACCCCATTTCCATGGCAATGGATGAATGTCACAAATGCAGAATTATGCCTTCACGGTGAGCTCAGCAGATGCTGGAGGCACCACGGACTGCAGCAAGCCCAAACACACGGAACAAAACAGACAGCAGGATGCCAGGCACGTACAAACTCTTCACTTGCAGTGTTTCAGTGCAAAACATCTCGCTAATCCAGTGTCTCTGCAAACTGGGCTTCAGCAGCGTTAACTATCAACCCAAATTCTATCAGTGTGAACACCCATGACATAATTCCA